GGAGCCGGGTCAGGAGAATATTTACCACTCAGTTTTCGTACTTTTTTCCAGACTGCACTCAATAGAGGAAGCAGAGGTGATGGTGGAGACATAATCTCGCCAGCAAGTGCGTTTAGCGTCACGGATGACACGGCGAGCGATCGCACGCTTCTGTTTAAAATCAAGGAGTCGCTCTGTGGTTCTATTGTACCGGTACCTGCCCCATGCAGCGCGTTTCAAACGTACTGCACGAGCACAAGCAGGAGACCACCAAGGCACGCATTTCTGAGAATGCCTGCTCGAAGTTTGGGGTATAGAATGAGAAGCTGCGGTGAAAACGGAGGACGAGAAGAGGTGTAAAAGCTCATCGATGGAGGACGAAGAAGGAACCTCTTTAAAAACAGTCAGGTGTGAGTAAAGGTTCCAATTTGCCCGATTAAATTGCCAGCGTGGGGTGCGAAGAGGTGGCGAATATGAAGGGGAAGTAAGAATGATTGGGAAATGATCACTGTCATGTAAGTCCGGGTAGAACAGACCAAGTAAAGTCTAATGCGGCGGAGGAAGAGCAAACTGAGAGATCGATGCAAGAGAGAGTATGAGTCCGAGATCAAAATGGGTGTGAGTACCTGTATTTAAAACATGGAGGGGGTGGGTGGCAAGAAAAGCCTCTAACTGAATTCCACGGGAATCACAGTGAGACCCTCCCCAGAGGAAATGGTGGGCATTAAAATCACCAAGTAACAGAATCGGTGGCGGTAATGACGAAACAAGGAAGGCAAAATCCGGAATAGATAATGCCCGAGAAGGAGAGAGATATAAAGAACTGAGCGTATACCACCTATGTAAGTGGATACGGGCTGCTGTGTAATGCAGCGAAGTATGAACAAATAGCTGATGGTACGGAATATCAGTGCGGAGAAGAAGGGCACTTTCATTAAAGGTCCCATCAGGAAAAGGATCTGAAGAATACAATAAATTATAGCCTGAGATGTGAGAAATAACAGCAGAGTGTAATTTTGGTTCCTGTAAGCAAACACCAACAGGGGCAAACTGGGAGAGTAACATCTGAAGCTCACCCCGATTACCCCTGAGGCCGCGTATATTCCACTGTAAAAAGGCCATGATTGGCAATGATAAAGATACTTGAAATCCGCAGGTAAGGGTTCCTACGGACTAGAAGGGTTAGAAAAGTCCACATGCGGAGGCAGTGGAAAATGTTCAAGCAGCGAAGGAACGGTGCGCTGTGAAGAAAGAGTTGCGCAGATGGAGCAGAGGAGAGAGGAAGAGCGGAAGGTGGATCAGTGTCCATTGATGGTTTGGTCTCTGCAATATATTCAGAGATTGCTTCAAGTGTTTCGGAATTCAGAGATGTCGTATGGGAGACAATATTGGGAATGGTAGGGGGAGGATGAGTAAAGATTGGAACTGTATTGGACTGTACCAAGGTAGGGGGGGGCGAAAGGGTGGAGGGAACTGGAGAAGCGTGGCAGGGGACAGAAGAGACAGGAACCTGGGAGGTGGCAGAAGAGGAAGAAACTTGGGAGGGAACAGGGGAGGAAGGTACATTACGAGGAGGAGGGTGAACCTCTGCACTTGTAACTGAGCCAGTGAGAGGGGAAGAACTAGGGACAGAGACAGGGAGGGTAAAATGAGGAGGTGGAAGATGGGTAGGAGGTGTTACCGGACCTTTTTTTGACTTTTGAGAAGTAGAGGGACGATTGGGAAGAGGTGTCGTACGAGGTCTCGTCGATACTGAGGCTTGTAAGAGAGAACTCGAAGAAGCGAGATTAGACTGAGGCGTTGAAGTAGGGACGTCTGAGCCGAGGACAGCAAAAGGATTAGATACAGGAGTGATTATGGGAGAGGTAACCACAGAGGTGGGTGTAGAAGATGGGATACCAGAAGTGGGGGGACGTTTTGAAACACGGGAATAAGAAACACGTGGGAGTCTCCCTTGGAGGCGGAGATGAGAAACTGCCATGGCATAAGGGAGACCTTCTGTCTCTTTGAGGTAACGGATTTCCCGCTCGTTTAAATAGACCTGACAACGGCGAGAGTACGAAGGGTGAGCCTCATGACAGTTAAGGCAAGAGGGAGATCGATTGCAAGACGTATTAGAATGGTCATCGGCACCACAGACTGGGCATTCGGCGATAGATCTGCAATATTTCGCTGGATGGCCAAATCGCCAGCAATTTCTACACTGTTGTGGTGTAGGGATCACCTTTCGAACTTGTAACCGATGTCCTGCTATATAAACGGAGGATGGGAGTTCTCGGCTGTCAAAAGTTAAACGAGCCACATTGCTAGGGTATCGTCTCCGCCCACGGGCAGGAAGAACGTAAGTGTCTACCTTGAGGATTGGGAGATCTTGGAGTTCCAGCTGTTCTAGAATGTCGGTGCCACACATGTCTGGAAATTTTGTTGAACTATGGTATGGGCAGAATAACGGTACCACTACAAGAATTGAGGGAATGATGTTTTTCAAGGGTGACAGGAACAGTATCTATATGGGTAAGACGAGAGAGCTCACGAGCCTGGGTAGCATTCTGTACGGTAATGATGCGCGTACCGCTCTTAAGAGCATGAAAAGAAATATCTTTACCAACATGGCGTAGGAGTGCCTTGCCAATACTATGGTCAGAAAGATAGGCAGTAGAGGAAGTTGGTCGTAAAGTGAAGAATTTAGTCCACTGTTCAGTCTGAAACTGAGCGTGGAAAGGTAGTGAAGGACGTGTCGATCGTTTCTGAGAAGAACGAGAAGGTGAAGGTGGAGAAGTATCATCAGCAGGTAATTGTCGTTGACGTTTAGGCGTGGGACCAGAGTTGGTCCGACGTGGAACGGGTCGGCGATTTGAAAATTGCCGCACCGTAGAGGGAGAGGCCGGAAGCATAGTCAGAGGAGAGCGAAGGTCTGATAAATCGAAGGAGTCAGTCGAGGCCTCAGTACCTGAAGCGGGTGAGGAAACAGCACCGGCAATAGGTACAGAGGCATGAGGAATGTCTGAAGAGTGGTCCAAAGACGAGGCGGGGTCAGAACGGGGTGCGGTATCAAGAAGGGGCCCGGGGGTACCAGGTTCATGGACTAGGGCTGCCATGGTTAGGTTACTTCTTTCTTTTTGTTTTTAAGAAAAAAAAAGAAAGAAGAAAAGAAAATAAAAATAAAAAAAAAAAAAAAAAGGGGGGACCGGGGAGGGATAGTTCCTAGGAGGGATGAAAGGGCCAGAAATCTCCCTCCGCGCCCAAGAGGACTCGACACCGCTAGTAGCGCAGATGCAGCATGGAACCCGTGCCATACCCTACCCTTCATGCCAGTAAACCAGCAATCTGGGATAGCAACCTCACATCTGCCGAGCTACCTCGGTGGACAAAAGAGAGGGCGGCCGGATATCCGCCACAAAGCATACCTCCTTCAGCCACCACCCCCGGAATCCGAAAGGTGGCTTCCAGAGCTACACCCGTCGCCCAAAAGACACCCAAAGCTACTCCGGGATACCGGAGAGGGATCGGGACATCCCTAGGCAATCCAGATTCCACGGCAAACTACGCCACCGCCAAGAAACCTCAACGGAATGGGATGGACCCCGGTGTCCTTTCTCCTACCTAGGAACTAGCGCGCCTGTGGGAGAAATCCCAAAGGACAAAAAGAGGAAGGGCAAAAGGGAGGAGTGGGGAGGAGGAGGAGGAAAGGAAAAAGGGGAGGATGGGGAGGATGGGATAGGGGAGGGGAGATTGGGGGGTAATTAGGTTCGGTCTGAGGAAGAAGACCGATAGGTCTAATTCCTCAGACCAAGAGCCTCTTCACCACGCCAAGGAGCCCCCCTTGAAGAGGTCTCTCCAGAGAGTGGAGATTTAAGGCTTTAAGTCTATCTTCATACGGGAGATTCCTTACGCAGTAAATCATTTTAGTCATTCTTCTCTGTATGTTCTCCAATGAATCTATACATTCTGTATATACAGCATTATTTACTTTCTGTAACAGATTATTAGGATATGCCGATTTCCAAGAATATACGTAATGGCTTAGGATATGGTGTTTTTCAGGGAAATAATAGCTTAGGATATGGTGGTTTTTCAGGGATATAATGGGTTAGGATATGGTGGTTTTTCAGGGATATAATGGGCTAGGATACAGTGGTTTTTCAGGGATATGACAACTTCAGTTTACAAGGCTTTACTGTAATTTAACAATTACAAAAAAAAGCCATATGTCTGTACTGTCTGCCTATTACATTATAAGTTTAGTGTTTATCATCATGTATGGAAAATTAGGCTAAATGTGTATAAATACAAGTATCAAGAATGTTCAAGTACAGTACTTCATTTAAGATTTTAAGATAAAAAAAAAAAAAAAAAAAAAAAAAAAAAAAAAAAAAAAAAACTTAAATATCCAATCAAGGACCTAAAACATATATAAAGTATATTCAAATACATACATAACTGGTAATATATTCATACCTTTGAGAATGAGGAGGGCTTGAAACTGATATTGTATACTGCAAATCCTCTTCTACTTTAATCCCTATCCAAAATGTGTCTATTTTTTGTCCTTTCCATTTGTTTTAGGACACATTAACTTTCAAAATATTGCATTTCTTCCCTTCCTATTTTTAACCTAAATAGCTTGCAAGAAAATATACCATACAAAAAGATACACTTTTAGATACTGGATTTCTGAACACCTTAATTCTAAGTAATATATATATATATATATATCTGAAGTTTTAATTAAAATTTTAAAGACCTGTTTAACATCAAGGTCAAAAAACAATTTTTTAAAACTACAATAATTTAGACGGTTACTCTGCTGGATTATTTGGAATGTATATCTAGTGAAGATTGGTCTTGCGTGAGAACAATTAGAAGTGATTTTTTAAATACAATAGTAGATGAAACAGTTAAGCAAGTCATTAATTTCCAAACTGGCTAAAACAGCTATTCCAGCCAGATAGCATCATATTCAGCAGGAGCGTACTTAAATACAGTACATACTAGATATGTTTGAAGAGTTTTTTCCTTACTAGTTAGTATTTTGCTTAGTTCTGTGGCAAAGGCCTCTTGTCAACCAGAGGAGCAGCTTCTTCTCCAGCCTCAGATGCTGCTGGGTCTTGTGATGTAGCGACATTGGCATGAAGATTTTGACTCTGTGGGGCAGGTTGACTGGCCTGGACTGAGGAATTTGGAATGTTTATTTCATAAGGTGGTGGTGACACTGGATTACAATTCTGACTAGGAGTGTATGGAGGAGCTGGTGGATAACCTATAGTATTAACAGGGTTATACACTGGATTGTATCCTGGAGCAAGCCCTGGGTAAGGTGGTGGTGGATCATCCTTTCTTGGTGAAGGTATCATTACTGTCATGCCTGCAGTGGGGTGAGCAACTGCCACTACTGTCACATCTGCAGGTCTAGCTGCCGATTCTCGAAGCTGAAAATAAAAAAAAGAACAAGAGTATTAGTGAAATATGGTATGGTAATACCAAGATGTGGAAAAAGATACTATATAGTTCAGGACATTTATTGTTTATTAGAGGACTGAAGAATCCACTTGTGGTGAAATGTTTTCTCTAATAAATGCCCTGTCTTTTTCCATAAAATTACTAGTACACACTCATAGTGAAACTCTGAACCCAAGAGAGCTGAGGGAATAGAAAGCAATCAGGTTCCATCCAATGAGAGGACAAATCCAATTTCATGGATTGAAAACCTTTTATAAGCATCAAGGAACCTCCCACAAAGAATGGAAAGGAAGGAACTGGAGGTATCCCCCTATTCTTCAAATAAAACCAGATGACCTCCCATTCCCTGTTCATTATATGACTCTTTAAGGATTTAGCACTTTTCCATGACATAAAAAATACTAAAAGTAATAACTCCCATCACACCTACCCTCCACATCTATTATTTGTAATGCCTACATTTGTTGTTTGTATACCTTTAATGGCCATAAATATAAGCAAATAATAATTATTGCCATTTTAGTCTTAATCTAAGCTTGTAAGCTTGCCTGAAATGTTCTGCATAACCATGGGCATTCTGAATGCACAACCAAATGTCACCCATCTCTGTACAAACAAAATAAATCTTAGACTTTCACTTTGATTATTATTTTTACAACTTTCAATATTGTACTTCATATTGGTGTGAACTTGTTTAAAAAATCTGTAACAGCGTGAATATATTATGTGAGAGCCCTTGTTACGACTTATCCTGGGTTGATAAGCTAACAAGTACAAAGCATACTAGAACACGTAAACTTACTTGCAAGTAATATGAATTAACAACGAGGGAGAAGTATATCACTACTATGACAATGAAGATGCTTGAAACAATATCATTTACATTTCCCCACAAGCTACACAGAGCCAAGATGGTAAATACAATCTGTACCATCTGCCACCATAACCAAGGAGTCATCAACTTGTATCTGCCCTGCAAAATATAAAAAATTAAGTTATTGTTATATTAAATGCAAAGTGCTAAACCCATGTGAGTCATACACCAATGCATCACTCTGTTAAAAAAATTATATGATTTTTTATAAGAACTAATTAAGATTTATTATCTATTACTTTCTATGGAATATTATTATTATTATAATCAAGGGGGAAGCGCTAAACCCGGAGGATTATACAGCGCCTGGGGGGGGGATGTGGAAGGCATTCAGGCTTAATTCGGGGAACTGGAGCACAGATCTAATTCCCTAAATCAAGAGCCCCTCACCAACATCAAGGAACCTTCCTTGAGGGGTTTCTATGGAATAGGTGTATTAAAATATTTAAAAGAAAAACCACATGGATTACTAATACAGTAATTCATTATATTTTTTAACACACTTTCCATTTTCCACCAAGGTAAGGTGACCTGAAAAACAAGAAACACTTTCATCATGACTCATTCCATCACTGTCCTGCCAGAAGCATGCCGATAAGTTAAAAAACTGCAACATATTTACACCCCTCCTCCAGAGTGCAGGAACTGTATTTCCCACCTCCAAGATTCAAGTCCGGCTAACTGATTTCCTTGAATCCCTTCATAAATGTTAGTCTATTCACATTTTAACAGCACATCAAGTCATAAAAACCATTTGCCTCATTCCTATCCAACATGCTGATGCACACATCTTCAATAATACTGCAGCCATTTATTTTAAAACTAAAAATCAAATATATGGCCAACAGTACATTATATTATGTGGCCCACAATTCTACAGTACTATAGTTTTAAGGCTGAGAAATTTAACACATGCAATAACTGGGCATCATTATTTGAAGACTTTTTGCAAATCCTTGGCATTATGAATTCAATACAGAGGTTATCTGAAGGTTTTTGAAACTGGAAATGCCTTCAAATAACCTCTGTATTCAATTGACAAAAGCCACTGGTTGGCAAAAAAGCCCTCAAAAATATCCTGGTATTGCCCATGTTCAATTCCTCATTGTGTTGGTCTTGTTTCATGAATGCAATGGCAGTTTTAAACCATTAATTTTGTATGTTATTCTGTAACTATTATTTATAGTACATTTCTTTGAATAATATACTCATGCAATGCTTGGCAATTAATGATCCTTAAATTTGTTAAATACTTAATGTTATTCAACCTGGCACATAATAACTATGGTATGTACTATAATGGCAAATGCATCATGGCTGAAGTGTCTGTAGATTTAATAAAAATAGATTTTCAAGTTTTTCTACTGTGCAGTTAATTTTTTTGTAACAAATTGGCTGTCTCCCACCAAGGCAGGGTGATAAAAAAAATAAAAAAAAAAACTTTCACCATCAGTCGCACAATCACCATCTTGCCAGAGGCATGTTGACTAAGATAGATAGAGAGATTAAAAAGTAGTATATACTTTACCGTTTTGGCCCCATGTATCATCAGTGCAGTCAGAATAAAGTAGATGAAGAATGTAAATGCCCTCAACACCATATTAATGCGCACTGGAATACAGAAAAAGATTTTATTGTAAAAATATACTTAACTGCCTAGTACTGTATATGTCAAAAGGTTTACATAATGGGAAATAACATACTATGCTTTACTGGCATACAATTAACTGTTATGTATTTGTTGGTCTGGTTTTTCAAGGATAACTAATCATGTTCTCCATGGGGAAGTGGATCCTTCCTACGCAAGTCATGCATGTCGTAAGATGTGACTAAAATGCCAGAGCAAGAGGCTAGTAACTCTTTCTGCATAAATTACTAAACATAAAAAGAAAACCTTTTGTTTCTTCTTATTCGGGTCACTCTGCCTTGGTGGGAGACGGCTGGTGTTTAAAAAAACTAATCAAGTTCAGTACTGCATTTTATTAAAGTTATTACATGATTTTTTTTTTGGTATAATTTCTAAGAACTAACTCTTAGTCCCAACCCTTAACCTTTAACTGTCATGAAACAAATTTTATCATATCAAATTCTTAATATAAGTATGAAGTAAAATTTGACTGTAGCACTGCTCAAATAATTTCACTGCTTACCAAACCATACCCCGGCCGGGATTGAACCCGCGGTCATAGAGTCTCGAAACTCCAGCCCGTCGCGTTAGGTTGGACGAATCTTATTGTGGCTAGCTGGTCTAGTGGCTAACGCGACGGGCTGGAGTTTTGAGACTCTATGACCGCGGGTTCAATCCCGGCCGGGGTATGGTTTTTTGCAATCGTGTCATTACGATTTCGTGAGTCAATTTCACTGCTTAATGAAGTGTTTCTGATATCCTTGTAATATAGCACATTCAGGTGTATAGTTCCCATCCATATATAAGAGGGTCCCACTTATACAGTAGGTTTGGTTCCAGGCTACTGCTCTAAAGCAAAAATTACTGTAAAGTGAAAGACTTTTTTTACTTTCAAATGCATATCAAGGCCTGATAACAAGTTTCCACTATCTCATATTAAGTGAGCAATAGAGCTAGGCCTAAAAAATACATATACAGTAGACACATTACTTGGCTTACAATATTTTCATTCTTAGCTTATAGTGAATGGTGAAAATATTTATTGTAGGAAGTCTGAATAAATGAAGGATGGGTATAATTGAAAACTGTTGCATTAGCTAAATGCTGTAAAGTAAAGCACCGTAAAGTGGGGCCTGTCTGAACTGTACTCTGTTTTACTTTATTCTTTTGTAATGATCCTATATATGCATACCCTACCTAGGTTCCAGAGAATACACGCACACACTAATCAAGACATTTACTAAGGAATCGTTTCACCACAAGCTGCTTTTTCAGTCCTAAGCCACTTGTGGAAAACTGTTTCCTTGGTAAACATCTTTTCCTTGCAGTATTTATTTTTGTTTTTGGGCTGTTAAATTTTTTAAAGGTTTGACACTGTTAAAACAGAATCAAATGAGTAAATTGCCAAATCATAAAATTACTCATAACTTATTTACTCATAAGAACACTCAATGGATAAACAAAGTTTTATATAATACTAACAAATGTAAGTGACAGTTCCAGAGGGGCATTTATCATGGTAACGATCATCATCATCTTCCTTGTCTTCTGCTGAACTGTCCAACAAGTCATCATCCCGAGTGGGTTTCAGAAGTAACTCATTTTCTGCATTCTGACACTGCTTCAGAGATAATTCAAAGTCCACTAGCAGAAGAATACACTTGAACATTTCAAGTAACGATCCAAACTGTGGGAATAAGAATTAGGTAAATGTTTCATATTAACTGTATAATATAATATTAAAACATTGTTATGTGTGATTTAGCAGAACATCTTTCATTTTTATTGTATTTCTGACTTGTTAGTCACCCACTTAAGTTATGATTAATTTAGCATTTTGACTTTAGAGGTATGTTTGTTTCAAATCCATTATGCTGGTAACCAACAAGGTTTCAATTAAATTTAATTCAACTTTATTTTTACATGATACATTGTGTATACAGGAATGGGTTGGCATTTGAATGCATGGATAAAGCCGATGATAATATAGAGCATTTTGGACAAAATTAACCCTAACTTAAGACTACAGGGTCAATAAACCTCACATGTAAGCTTTTAGGGACATTAAGTGTATACAAATAATATTGAGCATATAATGAATGTACTGTATTTGTAAGTACAGTGGACCCCCGGTTAACGATACTTTTTCACTCCATAAGTATGTTCAGGTGCCAGTACTGACCGAATTTATTCCCATAAGGAATATTGTGAAGTAGATTAGTCCATTTCAGACCCCCAAACATACACGTACAAACGCACTTACATAAATACACTTACATAATTGGTCGCATTCGGAGGTAATCGTTATGCGGGGGTCCACTGTACAGTGGTACCTTGACTTATGAGTGCCCCAACTTATGAGTTTTCCGAGTTACGAGCTGTCGCTCGGTCAATTTTTTGCTTTGAGTTGCGAGCCAAAATCCGAGTTACGAGCGAGCTTCAGATACGCCGCCACTAGTTGGCACAGCGAACGCCACAACATCAACCCAGCATCCCAGCATTTTGTGCTTTTTGTGCAGTTATTTTGCTAAATTTCTTTTTTTTAATCATGGGTCCGAAGAAAGTAAGTGCAAAGGACAGTGCTGAGAAGAAAAAGAGGATGATGTCCATTGCATTAAAGCATAAAATCATAGAAAAACACGAGAAATTTGTTGCTCTTGCAAATTTTCGACTTACTTTCAGCTCTCTCCTTAAGGCTCCTGCAGCCCAGCTACCTTTCAAAGATGTATGACTCTTGGGGGCTCAGTGCTTAGTTATGATTATAATAATAATATCCTTCAAAACTACTTATCTCAGCATTAATTTCTTCACTCTCAAATTTATTTCCTGAATAGGGTGCAACATGTTTTTGTACCTTCAGTGGAACAGTAGTTTTTGGATCACAACCAAAAGAACTTTGAGTAAATCATCTTTCATTGCTGTCTTTGTTCACCTAGCAGTATCTTGGAGTTGAATTAATCAGACCATGGAGCTGAACTCTTCTCCAGGCTGAGGGAATGACCACCCCAAATATTATTTCTCCAAGGTTGATGGACTGATAACACCATCTTTACTTCGTTGCTACACCTGCTGCCAACTGTGTAGGTGAAACATTTCAATTATAAAGATACGAACTGCTTCACATGCCTTACTCACTAAATCAGCTGTTGTGGGTTAGTCTAGAAAAAAAAAAAAGGACTTGAATAGAAACAAGCCTTATATCTTGGCTTTCTTGGAATATCCAAGATTAATAATAATCCATTAGTAATTCACATCCAGTGTTGATTCAGCCAAAATAATCATCTTGCTCATCTCTGGATAGTTGCTCTTTATTAACCTACAGTGTGGAGGGATCAAAAAGTTAAAAGTACCTATTGTCTGGGTAATAAATACGTACTTAATGCTGGTACCTAATATTTTGGGGATCAAATGTCTATTTTTTTTTTCAAAATAGCTGCCAGATCTCTGTTTTAACCCAGTACTGCAGTGGGTCATTTACAGTAAAACCTAAAATATCTAGTACACGTACCTCCAATAACCATCAACTTCTGACTGCCTGAAATGCACTACATACTAGTGGCTTTCTTTTGTGCCTAACATTATTTTATTACATGTAAACTACACATAGGTAGTAGGTTGGTAGACAGCAACCACCCAGGGAGGTACTACCGTCCTGCCAAGTGAGTGTAAAACGAAAGCCTGTAATTGTTTTACATGATGGTAGGATTGCTGGTGTCTTTTGTCTGTCTCATAAACATGCAAGATTTCAGGTATGTCTTGCTACTTCTACTTAACACTTAGGTCACACTACACATACATATACAAGCATATATACATACACACTCCTCTGGGTTTTCTTCTATTTTCCTTCTAGTTCTTGTTCTTGTTTATTTCCTCTTATCTCCATGGGGAAGTGGAACAGAATTCTTCCTCCGTAAGCCATGCGTGTTTTAAGAGGCGACTAAAATGCCGGGAGCAAGGGGCTAGTAACCCCTTCTCCTGTATATATTACTAAATGTAAAAAGAGAAACTTTTGTTTTTCTTTTTGGGCCACCCCACCTCAGTGGGATACGGCCGGTGTGTTGAAAGAAAGAAAAGAATTTAAACTACATTACCTGTATACTGCAGAAAAGAAATAATTTTTGTATTTGTTTCATTGTATTTTACTATACATGTAAAAGCTTGTTTTATAGTATGATGGGATCATTATATTTGGTAGAAATTGGTTAAAATGTTATATTTTTATGGTAGTAATGAATATTAAATATTTTTTCTCAGTTATTTTAATAAAAAATTAACATCTGATATTTAAATATCCATATATTATACATACATTATATATATTATATATTATATATACATGTATATGAATTTTAACAAAATATTATTCATTCCTATCAGGATTTTTAGTCTCTGCTGTTACCCTTATTTTTGATAACTGAATCACTGTGTATATAATCTCTAACATACTATTTATTATAAATTCACATTGATAAAGTCCACCTGATAAAGCCCACTGTGTGGGCAAAATGTAGTCAATAAAGGATAGCATTATACAGTACTACATTTGTGTTTATTTTTCCACTGTGTCAGTATATGATACCATTTACCTCCATAAATAATTTATACTTACCAAAGCTAAGAAGCCAATAATGACAGAACCCCTTTGTAGAGGAATGCAGCCTATGCATGTTTGGACCCGTAAAGCTGAGAAAGCCATTTTAATGGCTCTCAGATTTGCTTTGTTACTATCTGCAGAAGGAAAATTACATACAGATCACATGAATTTAAATGATGTTGAATAAACAAATTTAAAAATTCAACAGTTGATATAAATGGTCAGTAAAAATATACCATTTCTAGTAAATTAAATGCATATAAAAAAGGATAATGTATTCTTTCTTGGTCCCCAACCCCCTGCCCCTCTGGCTGAAAGTCTTGCAGCAGCCAAGGAACCTACAGACTGCATTCTCTCTATAACCTGCTTGACATGTCAGTCAAATCTTGAAAGACAAGTCAACTAATTCATGGCATCTTTAAGGCTTCAGTTTTGCATTCCCCCCACATCATCAAAAAATATCTCTAAACAGATTAAACAAAAGAAATTTTTTGCAAGAAATGGTAGTTTTTTTTTTTTTAACACACTAAACTATCTCCCACCAAGGTGCGGTGACCCAAAATGAGGAGACAAACTCATTCATTCAATCGCTGTCTTGACAGAAGTATGCTTAAGTCACAGTTTACATGTCTTTTCGAACTACAACATCCTCTTCCTTTAGACTGAAAGCACTGTACAGTGGACCCCCGCATAACGATCACCTCCCAATGCAACCAATTATGTAAGTGTATTTATGTAAGTGCGTTTGTACGTGTATGTTTGGGGGTCTGAAATGGACTAATCTACTTCACAATATTCCTTATGGGAACAAATTCGGTCAGTACTGGCACCTGAACATACTTCTGGAGTGAAAAAATATCGTTAACCGGGGGTCCACTGTACTTTCAACCTCCAAGACTCAAGTCCGATTAGCCAGTTTCCCAGTATCCCTTCATATATGCTACATTCCAAAACCCACTTGCCTTCACTCTGATCTACTGCATTCACACAAGCCTGCTGGATATTCAAGACCATAGCATTCAAAAACCTCCTTTACCTCATCACTCCAACCTTTCCTGGGATGACTTCTATCCCTCCACCTCAGATTTATATACCCTCCTAGTCATCCTATTTTCCTTCATCCTCACTTAATGCCCAAACCACATCAACCCTTCCTCAGCTCTCTGAACTATACATCTGTTAACACCACATGTTCCTAATAATGAAATAAAGAAGCCTATCCGAGAATAAAGTTCCTATCTAGGCGAGTAGAGTTTCTCCCTACCAGTGCATGCAAGACCTTATGTCTGGCTCTTATCAACAGCAAGCAGATTACTAGATTACTCATGCTCATCATAATACAAAGTTCTAACAAAATATATGAAAAGACAAAGTGCCTATTAGTCAAAATAAGATAGTAATGGATCAATATGGAGAATCAGTTGCTCTGTGATAATTTATATTATAATGTGTACAATAGTGAGTTTTGTAATAGAGATAGGTTTATTTTGTGTAAATTGTCCTAATGAAGCCAAACCCAATCTAACTCAAACTAACCTTATCTAACTTAAACATACTGTACCTACTACCTATCAAATTAAAAAAAAAAAGATTCAACATTTGTACTCACATCTGCTGTCAAAATCCCACATGAACTGTTAAAAAGTGAACAACTGTGTTCTGGGTCAGTTTTTTATACTGGATTAGAATGCCATGAAAATTTATTAGCAGACTGGATATGGCATACATTTTTATCACATACATTGACTTAGTTAGCAACACACTTGCCTCACACACTGAGTGTCCATGATTCAATCCCTGGCACCAGTGGAACTGCTGGGTATGTTTCCTTATACCTGCTGTCCCTGTTCATCTAGCAGTAACTAGGTACCTGGGTGTTTGCACTGTTGTGGGTCACATCCTGGGGGACAAACTTAAAAATCCCAATGGAAATAAAATACAGTCCTTGATGATTCAGTGATTTTATTGGCTTATCCTGGGTGGCTAACCCTCAGGGTTAAAAAATTTATGGGTTAACATGCTATAGAGTGGAGTGCAATGGGTTGGTATGCCATGGGTTGGAATACTACAGAGGTGACATGATAATGGCTAGTGTGCTATACGATAGTATGTGACAGAAATGTTACGAATACTATGAACTTCTCGCATACTCTGTCATGAGTAGGTACCTGGGCGTTAGTGGACTGGTGTGGGTCGCATCCCGGGGGACAAGATTGAAGGACCACAATGGAAATAAGACAAGACAGTCCTCGATGATGCACTGATTTTACCGGGTTATCCTGGGTGACAAACCCTCCCTATCTTGGGTTAAAAATCCAAAAAATTAATCCATTATTTACCATAAAGTTTAGCATTGTGTTCTTGCATGCTATGACTTATAATAGGTTATGTAAATAAGTTTATTGAGGCACAGGTACACATAAGTATAATTTTCATACATAGTGTAAACTACCAAGGATAACCCAAAAAAAAAGTCAGTGACTGATGTCCATTGGGGTCCTTGTAACAATGGAATAATAACACGTGAAGTATATCTTGCACACACTAGGTGGTAACAAAGCTACCACTATCTTACAGTTTTCTTAACATAGGCATTAATATAACCTGAAAACCCTGACTGTTTTACCACAAGAAAATTAAGTACGGATTATTAACCAAAGAAAGTCATTGTGTCATCAAGGACTGTCTATCTTATTTCCATTATAATCCTTTTTTTGAATTATCCTCCTAGATCATGATATCTATCCATTTTAATGCGAAATTTTAACTTATTTCCCCTTTAATTATAAAACAACACTTTCAAAAAACCTCACTAAGACGTAAAAGACAATAATCCCCTAAAAAAAAAAAACTAACAAAACAACTAAAACATCACTCATTAAAACAAGTTAATAAATACAAGAAAAAGTCAGAACAGACCTGGTTAATGTTATATAATAAGAGAGTGAGAGAGCAGCAGCAGCAGTAGCAGTGATAGGAGACCCAGGGTTGTTATCTCCCACATATATATGTGTCATGGACGCATGCGTCTTCAATATGTCTCCAGAATTATCTATACTAGGTGACTAAATTACTAAGTTGATTTAGGCATAGGTACATAAACTCCAGTTATCATATATAGTTTAAATTACCCAGCATAAACCCCCCAAAAAAAGTCAGACACGTTGACTTATTTCCATTGTTGTCTGTATAAAATATTATTTAAAACGGTTAAGCATAAATAAACTTATTTAGATATAGATATACATAAGTACAATTATTATACATATGTAAATTACCAAGGATAACACATAAAAAAGTCAGATAAAGTGGCTTATTTCTATTATTATTATTATTATTATTATTATTATTATTATTATTATTATTATTATTATTATTATTATCATCATCAAAAAGAAGCGCTAAGCCACAAGGGCTCAACTTATTTCCATTGTGGTTCTCCAATGGATGTCTCCAGAATTATCATTTACCTTCCTGTCCTCAGTCATGTATATTTAGGTGGTATTATAGCAGCTGACATTGTTTTAAATAATTATCTAGGCGTACCTACATATACGTGCAATTATCATACAAGTGTAAATTATCTACGATAACAAAAAAGGTGACTTATTTCCATTGGGTACTTGATTTCCATTGGGTACTTGATTTCAATGTCATTGGGAGTCCTTGATTTCCATGGGGTCCATGATTTAAACGGTATCCCTGATTTCCAGTAACGTTCTTGATTTCCAATAAGTCTAATTTAAATTGGGGTCCTTAATTTAAGGATTCCAATGCGAATAATTAATTTTAACTGACTTTTTTTTAGCTTATCCTACATAACTGACAACTTTTTTTTTTTTTTTTTTTTATTCGCCGGTATTCTCCCGGCCCGGGTCTTTTCCAAGTAGTGGTGACCCGGCCTTGGCTCCCTATCTGGAGAGTGTCTCGAGACTTAAGTCTCCCATGGGAGGAGGTACAAGTACCCCCTCATCTTTGGGACCAACTGTCCCCAGGCCTAGCCACATTCCCCGCCCTCACGGGGCTCGTAGGGAGAAGCTAGGCCTCTGGTCTGCCATCTGCCCCGCCCCAAAGGGGCTCGTGGGGATGGCAGTCTTGTGAGCTGCAGGTGGTAGCAAGCTCAGGCCTTGACACATAACTTTTATTATTATTATTATTAAAGATTAGCCGGTATTCTCCCGGCCCGGGCCTTTTCCAAGTGGTGGCCCGGCCTTGGCTCCCTCTTGAGGGAGTGTCTGAGACCGAAGTCTCCCATGGGAGGAGATACAAGTACCTCCTCATCTTTGGGACCAACTGTCCCCAGGCCTAGCCACAAGCTAGGCCTCTCTGGTCTGCCATCCCCACCCCAAGGGGGCAAATGGGAATGACAGTCTTATGAGCTAAAGGCTCGGGCTCAGGCACCTACCCTACCCTAGAAGGGTTAGGCATGGTGTCGATGAGACACATTATTATTATTATTATTATTAAAGATTAGCTGGTATTCTCCCGGCCCGGGCCTTTTCCAAGTGGTGGCCCGGCCTTGGCTCCCTCTTTAGGGAGTGTCTGAGACCTAAGTCTCCCATGGGAGGAGGCACAAGTACCTCCTCATCTTTGGGACCAATTGTCCCCAGGCCTAGCCACAAGCTAGGCCTCTGGTCTGTCATCCCCGCCCCAAGGGGGCAAATGGGAATGACAGTCTTATGAGCTAAAGGCTCGGGCTCAGGCACCTACCCTACCCTAGAAGGGTTAGGCATGGTATCGATGAGACACATAACATTACTATAAGAATTTACAACCACATAAATTTGCATAACTGGACGACCTAAATAAACTTATACAATATATCTTGCAAGTTCATCATTTCTTTTACATCTGTTGCTTAAAATTTTGGATAAATATATACACTAGTCATTCCCCAGATGAAATTTGTTTAATAGCAGAATTTATGCCAATTTTTTGTAGTCTAGTATATGTAGTGGCCTAGAAATTTCCAATATGCAAAGTTACAGCAACTATTAAATGCATTTCTTTGTTCATGTGACTGAATTCGCTAATGGTTAATGGGTTTTAAAGCCGCTGGGTTACACTACAGTAGCCCGTGGCCTGGTAGGCAATGCTCTTGCTTCACACGCTGAGTGTCCGTGGTTCGATCCCCAGAAAGGGTGAAAACATTGGGCGTGTTTCCTTACTCCTGTTCACCTAGCAAGCAAGTAGGTACCTGAGTGTTAGTGGACTGGTGTGGGTCGCATCCTGGGGGACAAGATTGAGGACCACAATGGAATATAAGACAGTCAGTCCCTCGATGACACACTGACTTACTTGGGTTAACCTGGATGGCTAACCCTCCGGGGTTAAAAATCTTATAAGCATTAAAGCTACACTTAACTTTTTCACCACTAGACAAAGAAATCCTTTTAATTCGTAAAATATGGATTTAAGTCCAATTTTAAGCATATATACACTGAGACAAATATACCTCTCAGAGTGTATATCTTGTATTCATTAATTATTTTGCCAGCTCATTCGTACTGAATCCAAATTCATTAATTTTAGAAATCCTTCACTAATACTGCAATTTGCTTAGCTAACAATGTTGAGGCAGTCTCTGGGGTTCGTAACAGCCTGGTTGATCAGGTCCTGATCCACCATGAGGCCTGGTCATGGACCGGGCCACGGGGGCGTTGACCCCCGGAACACCATCCAGGTATACCAGTACTTTGTGTGTAAACTATGATATACCCTTAAGTCAAGGGTAATATTAAGAGTATACTTCACTGTATATATCACTGAAGGGTAATATTAAGAGTATACTTCATTGTATATATCACTGAAGGGTAATATTAAGAGTATACTTCATTGTATATATCACTGAAGGGTAATATTAAGAGTATACTTCATTGTATATATCACTGAAGGGTAATATTAAGAGTATACTTCAGTATATATACATATCTGTGTGACTTTGTCAATGGTCCAAGTCGGACCGAAACGTCGTCGTAAGCTTCTCTCTTTTATGTGCGGGTTATTTGTGTATTGTTCCAGTCACGGTATCGTGCCTTTTTGTTACATATCTCTGGAAATTGATTTAGTCCTGCCATAATTGGAGTGAGCAGACTGGTTGTAGTAAGTTTTAGTAGCCCTCAACAGCCACCCAAACAAACACAAACAACACGGATAGTGAGTTTATACTCACTATATTATAGATTTACACTTTAAGGAGGCCTTGGGTAGGTTTAAACTGTTAGTAACTAATATTAGAATTAATAAGGTAGCCTTGGATCTTAATATTGGTAGCTTTAGACCTTAATATAGGTTAATATTAGGGTGTATCTAGTAAGGAGACTAGATAAATGCGACGCCTAGCAACCCTATGCTTGAACACAGGCAGGACGGGGTTGAACAAGTACTGATAACAAGAACATTAGAAAGAAGGAGCACTGCGGCAGGCCTACAGGCCCATGCGAGGCAGGTCCAACTCACACCCACTCGTATATTAATCTAACCTATTTTTAAAATTACACAAGGGTTTAGCTTCTATGACGGTACTTGGGAGTTTGTGCCACTCAGCCACAACTCTATTACCAAATCATTGCTTTCCTATATCTTTCCTGAATCTAAATTTTTCCAACTTGAAACAATTGCTGCGAGTCCTGTCTTGGTTAGATACTTTTAGCCCGTTATTTACATTTCCTTTATTCCTGTTTTCCATTTATACACCTCAATCATATTTCCCCTAATTCTACACCTGGTCTGAAGAGGGAAGTGTTATCAAATCTTGCCATAACAGCCGCAGACTCAAGAAAAAGCCAGGTAGGAGTGAAGCAGCCGTTTTCTTGAGGTTGTAGATTGCCATCCTCGTCACCTTCAGGTCTGCGGCTACATGTATCACAGACATGCCTTGCTCTCATAGGGTGAGTGCATGGGTCTTCTCTGCAATTGAAAATTTTGTTCAACTCATTCTGACCACCTAGAGCAGAGATACAGCGTGGCAAAGTTCGTGGTCGAGTGAAAAAAGGGACACTGAGGAGCAACGTTGCAAGCCTCCTTCCTCACCGAGCTCTGGCATAGTACTGAAGTGTGGCATGGTGCGTAACAATGGAGCAAGATGGGTGCCAGTACACTATGTCATCACACTATTCCTATGGCAGAAATGTGAGTGAAATGTATGCACCAAAATCTTATGTATAGATATTTTTTTGCATTGGACATGCATAGATTTTTTTACGGGCACTGTAGGTAGTCAGTAGGTGTAGGTAGCTTATGGGTGTAGGTAGCCAGTAGGTGTAGGTAGCCAGTAGGTGTAGGTAAACGGTAGGTGTAGGTAGCCAGGAAGCTCCCCTATACCAGCTACCTACACCGGCCCAGAGTGATATTACCATCAACATACTTTGTTCACTGAGTTCAATCATTTCTAACAACTACCTTTAGATGCCATCATTAATGAAGGAAGAAGTGATGAGAAGTCATGCCAAGAATTATAAACA